AAGATGAAAGAATAAAGTAACCATATTGCTCTTTTGTTAACATGGATTTTGATTGAATCTGACAGACTGTGCCTGATAAATGTCCCAATTGCTGATTTCACTAAAATGCCTGAATCAAGACACCATTTAATTTTCTCTAACTGTAAGGGAGAAAAGATTGCCCTTTTAATATGCTTATCTTCATCCTGTATACTCTAGTTTATATTTATTCCAGAAGAAACCAACTCTGCAACCTTCTTAGTGCCAGCAGAGGGAGCTAAAAGACAAATTGAGAAGCTGCAGAAACACACAGGAGAAAGGGTTTTTGGAGGGGTGGGAGGGTGTTCAAGAATGTATATCACTGGAAAGAAAGACAGCAGCAAAAATAATTGCTGAAAAAGTGCAGAGAAGACATAAATGAAGCCAAGTTTGGGAATCTATTAAAAGGGTTATTTTTCAAAGCCCACTTTTACCCCTCCCACTTCCTTCCATCTGCTGATTAAAATAAATTCAACGAGGTAATATTAGCATCCATTTTCAGACAAATGGAAGTAGTAGCTAAGCAATTTTAGAAACTTTCTGCTTGATTCCTTTAACCATTGCTCCAAAAAATATCTTAAAATATTTGCTCTTAGAAGATCAAATTATTTAATTTTAAATTAATTTGAAGTTGGTTTTACTACACAGTGATTCTTCATCCATCTTTTAATGCTCATGTACCTTTATTTTAAGAGGTTTTTCTTTTCCTGAGCACACATTTGCTCATAAACTTGATCTACATAAACTTTATAGCTATATGTATGTGGAGTCCTTGAACCACTGTTGTGTGAACAACTTGATGTCTCACCTCCATTCATGTTTTAATTTATCTAACATATATTTATTGAGAACCTATGCAATGTCATATACAGTGCTAGGACCTAGGGACCCACCAGGGAATATGATGGAGAAACTTATAATTTAGTGGAGGTAACAGGCAATAACCAATCAAATAAATAATTTTAGAGACATGCTATGAAGAAGAGGAAAGAGTGACTGGCATGGGAAAGAGGGTATGCCTCTCTGAGGGAGTGATATTAGCACAGAAACCTAAATAAGGAGACAGCCATGCAAAGATCTAGCCGAGTTTGGCAACCTTGCTTAAAGGGCTTGTGGGTCATATGATATCTGTCTCAACTACTCAACTCTGCCATTATAGCACAAAAGTAGCCATAGTCAGTGGTAAACAAATGGGTATGGCTGTGTTACAATAAATCTTTATGTACAAAAACAGATCCACAAAATGGGAAGAGTCTTCTAGCCAAAGTGAATAGCATAATCAAAAGTCCTAAATCATTGATGAGTTTGGTGCAATGTGGCTGGTATATAATGAGCAATGCAAGAGTGATCCCTGCTTAAGTGAAAGAGGTAAACAGTGGTCAGATCACATAGGGCCTTGTAGGCCATGGTAAGGAGTTTGAGTTTTATTCTAAATATGGGGTGATGCTATCGGAGAATTCCCGACTGCTGTGTGCTAAGTGGATTGTAGGGAGGAGGGGTAGAAGTGGAAGACTAGTTAGCTAGTCCAAGTGAGAGATAATGGCAACTTTGATTAGGGTAATAACAATGGAGATGGATAGCAATGTATGGATTCAGATTGTGTTTTGGAGATAGAATCAATAGAAATTGTTGATTAATAAGACAGGAAAAGAGGGAAATCTAGGGTTTTAAGCTTGAGGCACTGATAGGTGGTAATGTTATTAGCTGAGTTGATAGGAATTAAGAGAGAAACAGGATTGGCAGCAAGAAAGGATTGGTGCAAAATCAAAAGTTTTGTTCTGCTTCCTAATAGACATGCAAAGAAGCAATTGTATGTAAAAGACTACAACCTGGAGCACAGGCCAAGCTTAAAGATGTAATTTGAGAGTCATTAATTAATGGGCAATAGCAAAGCCATATAATTGGATGAGCTTACTTAGGGCGAATGTGCCAGATAAAGAGAAGGAGGACTAGTGCCAAGCCCTGAGGCCCTCAATATTTAGAGGTTGAACAGAGGAGAAAAAGCAGCTTTTAAAAGAGACTAAAAAGGAGTGGTCAATGGAATATGAGGAAATCCAGGAGAGTTGGTACTCTCTGGAAGTTAAATGGAAAAGTGTTCCAAGTTGAGAGAGTAGGCAACAGCCATCAGTCAGATTTAGTTACTGGTCAAGCAAGTAATTAGAAGGGAAGCTGAAACCAGAGTACATGACTGATTGTGCCTCTCAAGTGGGAAAAATATATAGGGTGTCAAGTACCAAATTATCACCATACTTTAAAAAAATATATCAATTTTAACACTTTGGAGGCTGTGTTGTACACTCAACCTATAATGCTCTATTTTAAGCTTCCCAATTGTTTCTGCATTTGTTCCCCAATGACAAGGTAGTGTTCTTAATTAGAAAATGAACAGCGCTGTTTATCTCCATAAGACTCCTGGAAAAGGTCAAGAGCTATGGTTGTCTCAGAGAATTCCAGTCTCAGTATCTTTACTGTTGCCATGAGGCTCCACAAATTGACCTTTGCTTTTGTCTCCATATTAGAGTCACTGTGTCTGAGAAAAGCAAGCTGTCTAGGGCACAAAGGAAATAATAAACTGGAGCAAATAGACAGATGTTTGAAAAGTTATGTTCCTGGGAGGAAGAAATCTAACAACAATTTTAAAAGTCTTTTGGACTTTTCTCATTTGGGAATTATGTCTCATAATGTATGTTTTTGGCTTATACTTTTTAGCTTAGCACACAGAGTTCTTCATGAGCTGGCACCCACAACCTCTCCAGCCCCATCTCTCACCATGTCTTCATATGCACCCTCTACCCCAGAGGTCATCTTGAACTCCTTGCAGTTCCCTAAATATACTATTCTTTCTCTGTTACACTCTTGAGCTTTTTGAGCATAAGCTATTTTGTTTTGCTGTAATACCCATCTCTACCATCTCCCCCCACCCACTACGGCTACCACCTTAATTTAGCTAAACTCTACTCACTTTTCAAAGCTTGGCTCATATAAACTATCCTCCAGAAAGCTTCTTTTGACTGTCTCTAGGGCAGATGCCTTTTCTTTGAATTCATAGCACTTATGTTATATTGAAATTGTCAGTTTTCTCATTTGTTTCTAAACAGTGATATCCTTAAAGGCAGAGACCATATTTTGTCTCTCTCCATCTCACACCCTAAAATACCCTTGGAGCAGAATAGGTACTCAATAAGTTTATCTTGAATGAATATATGAAGTCCATTGGTTTGACTTGGCACCTTACTTGAATTCTATAACATTTTCTAGCCTGCAATGTACCGTGTTCCTTACTAGATATAATTTGTTTGGGGTAAGTTTTCTGTTGTTAAAATCTTAGTTTGTCCTTATGGCCAGCTTTTCTTCTTTGTACTGTTTTTTTGTTGTTGTTGTTTGGTTTGTTTTTAACCTGTATTATTGAGGTAATATTCACATACCATAAAGTTTACATTTAAAGTGTATGATTAAGTGGGTTTTAGTACATTACTAATTTGTATATTCACTAGTATATTTCTTAATTTAAGACTATTTTCATCATCTCAAAAATAAACCCAGTACCTATAACAATCATTTTCAATCCCCCTCTAACCTCATCCTTTGGCAATTGCTTTCTGTGTCTATGGATTTCCCTATTCTGAATGTTTCATATACATGAAATCATATAACATGCCTACTTTCTTTCAATTAGCATAATGTTTTCAATGTTGTAGCATATATAAAAACATCTCTTTTTATGACCAAATAATATTTCATTGTATGGATATAGCACATTTTGTTTATTCATTCATCAGATGATAAACATTTTTGTTGTTTCCACTTGGTAGCTATTAAGAATAAGATTATTATGAACACTCATGTACAAGTTCTTATGTGAACATGTGCTTATAGTTCTCTTAGGTATAATAGGAGTGGAATTGCTGAGCCATATGGTAACTCTGTTGATCTTTTTGAGGATGTGCCAAATTGTTTCACACAGCCACTGTACCATTTAACATTCCTACCAGCGATGTTTGAGGATTCCAATTTTTCCACATTCTCACCAAAATTATTTTCCATTTAAAAAACTATTTATGTAACCATCTTATTGGGTGTAAAATAGAATCACCTTGTGATTTTGACTTGCATTTACCTGATAACTAATGCATTAGCACCTCTTCACGTGCTTATTGGCCAATTTTATTTCTTCTTTTTAAAAATATCTATTTTGAACTTTTGCACACATTTAATAGAGTTATTTGTCTTTTTATACTTAAGTCATAAGAGTTCTTTATATATTTTGGCTACCAGATTTTTGTCACATATATTGCAAGTATTTTCTCCCATTCTGGGGATTGACTTTTTCATTTGTTGATAGTGTTTCTTGAAGCATGTTTTAAAAATTTTTACAAAGTTCAATTTATCTGTTTTTGCTTTTGTCCCTTGTCCTTTTGGTGTTGTATCTAAGAAACTATTGCCAAATTTAAGGTCAGATGATTAACCCATATGTTTTATTGTAAGAGTTTTATAGTTTTAGCCTTTACATTTAGGTCTTTGATCCATTTTGAGCTAATTTTGTACTATAAGGTAGGGGTCCAGATTCATTCTTTCGCATGTGGATATCCAGTTGTCACAGCATCAGTTGAAAAGAATATTCTTTCTACCATTCAATGGTCTTGGTACCTTAGTCAATATTCAGTAAGTGAATGTGGTTTTTTTCTGGATTCTAAATTCTATTCCATTGATTTATACATCTATCCTCAAGCTAGTACCAGACAATTTTTATTATTGTAGCTTTGCAGTAATTTTTTTTAAATATATCTTTATTGATTTCAGAGAGAGGAAGGGAGAGGGAGAGAGAGAGACAGAAACATCAATGATGAGAGAACCATTGATTGGTTGCAGCCCGCAACCCGGGCATGTGCCCTGACCGGGAATCGAACCCTGATTGCCTGGATCTTAGGTCGACGCTTAACCACTGAGCCACTCCCGGCTGGGCTTTGCACTAATTTTGAAATCAGGAAATGTGAGTCCATTAACTTTATTCTTCTTTTTCAAAATTGTTATGGTTATTCTGGATCCCTTGAGTTTCTATAGGAATTTAGAATCAGCTTCTCTATTTCTGAAAGAAAAAAAAAAAAAAAAAGACAGTTGGAATTTTGACAGTTATTGCATTGATTCTATATGTCAATTTGGGGAGTACTGAAATGTTAACAATACTAAGTCTTCTGATCCAAGAACATTGGCTAGCTTTCCATTTATTTAGGTCTTTTTTCCAGTAGTCCCCCCTTATCTGCAGTTTCACTTTCCATGGTTTCAGTTACCTGTGCTCAACCATGGTCTGAAAATATTACATGGAAAATTCCAGAAATAAACAATTCTTAAGTTTTAAATTGCATGCCATTCTAAGTATCATGATGAAATCTCGTGTCACCCCACTCCATCCATTCTGGGATATGAATCATCCCTTTGTCCTGTGTATCCACACTGTGTATGCCACCTGCTCGTTTAGACACTGAGTAGCCATCTCAGTTATCAGATCAACTGTCATGGTATTGTAGTGCTTGTGTTCAAGTAACCCTTGTTTTACTTAATGATGGCTCAAAGCAGAGAGTAGCGATGCTGACAATTCAGATATGCCAAACAGAAACGATTAACTACTTTTTTTAAGTGAAAAGATAAAAGTTCTCCACTTAATAAGGAAATAAAAAAATTGTATGCTGAGGTTACTGAGATCTATAGTAAGAATGAATCTTCTATGAGTGAAATTGTAAAGGGGGAAAAAGAAATTTGTATTTGTTTGCTGAGAGACCACATTCTCATAACTTCTATTACAATATATTGTCATAATTGTTCTATTTTATTTTAGTTATTGTTATTAATCTTACTGTGCTTATTTTATAAATTAAATTTTATCATAAGTATGGATGTATAGGAAAAAAGCTTAGTATATATAGTGTTTGGTACTATTCACAGTTTCAGGCATCCACTGGAGGTCTTGTATCATATCATCCACACATAAGGGGAGACTACTGTAATTTCTTTCAACAATATTTTTTAGTTTTCAAAATATAAGTTTTATAATTTTTGTAAAATTTACTCCTAAATATTTTATTCTATGTGAAATTAGACAGCAGTTTAGACCTAATATGGTAAGCTGTAGCAGGTTATTATAGGCTCAATGTGGAATATAATAAAGAATGGCATTTCTGGCAGCTTTGGAGGCATGCTGCCTGAATCTCCCTTCAAGAAAAAACTTGCAATTCAGCTATTAAGAATGCATTTATCTGACAGCCTCCACCTATTAACACCTTCAGGTTCTGCCTCAGCCATGCTCTTCATGGGAATCCTCTAGCCAATAACTGAGCATAGTAGGGGTACTGGGACCTAGCCATATCTCTCTCTCCATCATAAGACTCCTTTAATGCAAAAATTTGCTTGGGAGCTCTCCATCAGGTTGGATAAGGCTTTGAAAGATCTGAACCTTAGTCTGACTCTCTCCTTCTAATCTTACTTTCTGTCCCCTTTCCTTTCACAGGCATCAGATCAGCATTATAGTCTGAAATCTTTCTCTACCCACTTCTGCTCACTCCTTTTACCTTTCACAGGCATTACTGCCAATAAACTTTTGCACTCCTAACTCTCTTTTGGTATCTGCTTCCCAGAAAGAGCCCAACTGGTGCATAGCTTAAGCTATATTCCCATGTTGGGTGACTAAAAGGGAGTAATAAAAGCATATTCAGAGGAAAACAACCTATTTTTAAATCTGTTATCTTTAGGGTATGATATTGTCACAGTCCGATGACAGTTATATATAATAAAAATCAATTTAGTTATGCCATAGTTTAAGGATGACATACTTATATTGTTGCCAAATATCAAACATAGACCAGATTCCAATATAAAAAATGGTACAAGTTGCTCTAGGAAATGTACACTCTGTAAGCACATAGTCTTTCTTTCAACTGATATTAGCCAGTGTGGCTTAGATACACAAATGCAACATCTACGTGGCAAATATCTGCATGAAAACTGGGAAAAAAGATATCCTTCCAGCCCGGCCGGGTGTGGCTCAGCGGTTGAGTGTCAACCTAGGATCCAGGCGATCGGGGTTCGATTCCAGGTCAGGGCACATGCCTGGGTTGCGGGCTCGATCAATGACTCTCTCATCATTGGTGTTTCTATCTCTCTCTCTCCCTCTCCTTCCCTCTCTCTGAAATCAATAAAGATATATTTAAAAAAAAAAGAAGATATCTTTCCAGATATTTGGTGTAAGGCAGCCAAACACAAAGTTTAAATAAAGACTTGAGATGATCATCTTATTAATTTGGGCCCTACATGCTATCATCTGAAACATTCAATTGAGTTATTGGTCTTCATGAGGTAGAACGAAACTAAAGATCATCAAGGAGGACATCTACTCTATCACTATTCGGAAGCAGAAATTGAGGCCCAAAGAGAACAAATGACTTGTCCAAGGTCACACAACAAGCTAATAGTAGAGCTAGGATTGGAACCAAAATCCTCCTTATTTGACAGAGCTCCCTCCTTCTCATTTTTGTGTTTACCATATTTGAAGTGTTACTGATTCTAGCATTTTCCCGTCAGCAGGGTACTAGATCCCATAAAGGACATAAATCCACAGTTTTCACTCTTCCCACTGAGTTCACATGCAATGCAATAGAAAATCTTCTCTTTCCATCATCAGGAATGATCTCTGATATGTGATGGAGTGGAAATCCACTAGAAGTTACACAATTTTGATTATCCAACTCTAAAGCAAGAGAAGGCCTTAAGCAACACCATCTGATTATGCAATTTTACTATTGTGGAGAACTAATCAAACTCATCCTAGAGGCTTATCTGCTGTGTGACACATCCATTCCTTGATATCAAAACTTCTTAATAAATTCAAACACGAGAAGTACTGGTGACTCATTTTCCTAGTAATTTCTGATTTTATTATTATTTTTTTCTTAATTTTATTTTTGTTTAAATTATTACAGATGTCCCTTTTTCTTCCCAATGACCCATTCCACCCCATCCTATCCCCCTCCCCAGTCCCTCTCCCCACCATTGTCCGTGTCCTTGGGTTGTGCATATATGCATATAAATTCTTTGGTTACTCTCTCCCC